GATAAAGATAGACTATCGGTGTTTGAACATCGCTGTCTATGCAGGATCGCACGAATCTGATGGAGCAGCCGGACGAGCAATGCTGAAGTTAGGCACAGAGTTTTGGGTAACCGCGATCGCCCACTGGATCCAGTGGTCGACCTCCATAGATTACGCTGTTTGGGGCATGTGTTACGCATGTCAACAAATAGGCTGCCGCGGCGAGCGATGTTTGCCGAGACAGATAGTGCGTGGAAGAAAGCCAAGGTGGTCAAGCTCAGACTTGGCATGAGGGTGTGAAAACCCTACCCAGGAGTCTGGGTCACATAGGTCCTGTTAGGCTCCCTGGATGATCATGCCGATGGTTAAAGACACTGAATGATATTCTATTCCGCTTGTTCGCCGAGCTTGGCAATTTGGTTGCAAACGTTTCATCACCACCATCAGTGCTTTGTCAACTGAATGATATGGCTGGGTGTAGTAAACCGTGGCGTTTGTGCATTTCAATTTCTATGAATAATTATTCCACTGAACTTCTCAGTTATCTCTTCGATCCTACTTGCAACTATCTTGTTTTCCTCCTATTGTTCATGCAGATAGGCAGCCAAAAGCGTCGCACCGAACTGCATGCTTGATGGTTTTTTAAACTGAACTGACCTGAATGTCATGGACGCTATCTGATTTGTGCGTCGCCCCGTCATTTTCCAATTATATTTACTTATTGCATTACATAGAATCTTGTTCTCTCTGTCTCCGGTTTTATCATTGAGGCCAAAGGGAAGGCGCTCGCGTCTGTAGAACCTCCAGGTAGAACATAACATTGACACAGTGGATCAAGGGTGTCCAGTGGTTCGCAGTACTGCAATAAGTCGTAGCGCTTGCAATTCACAACAAAAACAGCTTGAATGACCGGTAACATTTGCTATGATTTGGCGATTTATCCCCTACCCATCCTCACCACCTTTCTTAGCTCGTGTAGACCGCGGTTAGTGCGGATTTCGTCCTCGTCTTGCGTTATTTAGTGCATTGACTACGAAAGTCATACCTAATTTCAGCATGCACGTTCACCGACACACCGAAATGATCCCGGATGAATTGTGCGCAGCCACGTCTGTTTTCTTTATTCCTCACATTTGCAATGTGAACCGTTATCAATTACACAATGAACGATATTTTAATTGTGTCAAATCAGTCTGTTAATATTTCTTTTGAGAGAAAAAACAAGTAAACAATCACCTATGATGAATTTCCAACTTGTCCGGGATTATTTTCCATCAAACGAAGCACTTTATGCAACATTTGTCAATCTTATTGACCACAACCAACAGGGAATTGTTCCACTGGTACACGTCGTTCGGGTCGATCCTTAAAGGTTCATCCTGGATAAAAGCAATCACCCCTCCACTCAAACGCTTGTTTAAGTACCATCTGAGTACTTGCAACTCAGCGTTGCGATAAGCAGATGATCTCTCGCTGCCTGCCTCCAGATAAAATGTCTCCACAATGAATCCTATGATCCGTACGTTACTTCCGTCTGACTCAAGGATACACGTATTGGTGGTTTAACAAATCTCAATAGTGTAAACGAGACTGGTTCTCTGTCCAGCAGTGTTATGGCTTGAGACTCGAAATTTTTGAAGTCTTGGTAGACTACTATTCGCATCTCAGAACCCCATTAGCTTGCGCGAATATTAGAGTTTTGTTCCGCAAAACTTGATGGTATAATTCAAATCACTCTTCTACGTAGACACATTCGCCTCATTTCCCGAGACCTTACTGCCCACTAATATACCAGCTAGTTGTTGCACATCCCCGTGGTCCAATCAGCTTATACCCACTCCAAGGGCACCTTCGTGAACCTCACGATTTGTCTTTGGCTCGTTCCTCTGTGCTTGCTATCGGCAAATTAGTCTCAAAACTGACCTTAAATAAATCAACTTGTTGAACCGTCTCCAGGATGTTTCTCTCACTAGTTAGGGCCTTCCTAAATTTGAGACTCTGATAAATACCCTGGTTTCAGTCTCAACCACTGGCCTACTGTTTATTTATAGACACAGGATCGGGGGACTATAGCAGTTTCAATAGTACAATTTGTTCATAACAGCTTCCTCTATCTATTTTGGTAGTTAAAAAAAAAAGATTTCACCGTGTTCTGTCGATTTCTTCAACGTTCACTCCGAAGCAGTGGTACTGACAGAGATGGATTCATCGATTTCTTTGTTTAACAGGGCATTTCAAGGCACGGGATAATTCTATTCATGGAATGACTTGTGATGAACAACGCTGTCTGCATCCTACAATTGAGAAAAAGAGAACAACAAATAGAAATCCTTGAACGCGATCCAAGTTTTAGTTATTCCTCTCTCTCTCTCTCTTCACGCACATGTACCTGGATAAACAGTTGAATTCTGCATTTTGTTTGTCTCAAGTCTCGTTTATATTGCAGATTTTCCTACACTTAAATGTTTAATCTGTTCTCGTTTAGTGATATACAAAAAAAACCACGAAGTGCTGAGAATACAACTCGTCGGGTGCACATAACCAATCTCGATTTGACCAAAAGCTGTCAGGAACAAAACTCATACAACCATTCTACTGATTCGTTATTTAGTGAAAGGTGAAAACGAAAAGTGCGAAGGGATCTGGGAAAAGCCTGTCACGTGTAATCAGCAATCCTGGATGGAATACGACAACCACCAGCACTAAATCAGTTGACCTGGAAAAGTGTACATCATTCATGTGCTTTGTTCGGAGACAGAATACGATTGGTGCCAGTGTACAAGCCTTGGAATCACATTACCCATTATCATGAAAAGTGGAAGTACATATTTTCAAGAATTACATGGAATTTAGTCATCTACTATGAATGCTATACAACATTCAGCCGTCGAATATCTCCCATACACATCATATTAGTATATTCGCGTATTCAGACTGCTTCAAACAAATCATGGTACAACAATATAAGTGACGAGGAAATTCATGTAAGGCTCGTTTGTCGACGCCCAAGAAGTTCATTTTGCGGAATAGTCTAGTCGCGTTTCTGGAAACGATTGCTGGCTAACGCCGCCTTGGGTCAAATCACAATTCCAACTCTCGGGGTTCATGTGCACTAC